TCATGGGCCAGAACCAGCCAGGTGGTGCCACTTTACTATAAGGGGGCACGAACTGTGGAATTCCCTGTAGAAGGAGAGGAGGACCAAATAATGGTGAACATTAGTAAGATCTCCTACACATCACTCCTCACACCATTCCTATGGGGGGCAGGGAGGTGCTAAATACTCTTTCACTTCTATAAAGGAGGGAACTGAAGCCCAGAGAGTTAAGTTGACCAAAGCCACACAGATGAAAAATGTTGGAGCCAGGAATTGCCCCCTGGTAGCCTGGCTCCAGAGTTCATGTATAAAACCCAGTAGAGTGCCTGACAGACCGTCGGCAATCAATCTGTATTCGTTTTCTATGGCTGCTGAAACAAATCACCACAGACTTGGTGGCTTAAAACAATCCAAATTTATTCTCATATTTCCGGAGGCCAGAAGTCCCAGATCGGCTTCACTGGGCTAGATTCAAAGTATCAGCAGAGCGATTCCTTCAGGAAGCCCTAGGGGAGAATCCATTTCACTTCTTTTTCTAGCTTCTGGAGGTGGCCTGCATTCCTTGGCTCATGGCCTCTTTCTGGAATTACTCTAACCTCTTGCCTCCATCATCACTTCTCCGTAGTCAAATCTCCCTCTGCCTCCGTCTTGTAGGGATACTTAGGAGTACATTTAGGGCCTGCCCCAGATAATCCTTAATTTACTCACACCTGCAAAGACCCTTTGCCACATAAAGCAATACTCTCAGATCCCAGGGACTAGAACGCGGACATCTTTGGGGCTGTTGTTCAGCCCGCCACACTACTGTGAGGTTCTTATCATGTGGATTCTGGGTGTCTTTGGTCTGTCCCTTTTTTGCACATTCTACCTTGCAGGACAGCAATTTGTTATGGTTTATTTCTTCTGCTGGAATGCAAGCTCCCCGAGGGCAGGGATTTGGGCTGACTCACCTTCCTCTGTACAGAGTTGGTCACAAACAAATTAAAAACAATTGTGAAAGTGATTACATTGAGTGAAGTAAAAATTTTCCCTTGAAGCCATCAGAAATAGCTGTGGCAAAGGAGGAGCTAGTGACTGGTGGTACCCCAATGAACCACCCTTTTTGAGGATGAAGAGGGCTTGGCCAGCTGTCCCCCAGGATTTATCATTGCTTTGCCCTGTGCCTTGGCCTCATGTCTGTATGCTCAAGAGGAGAGAGCTGGGGGGGAAAGTTGGTTTGTTTCTCACCAACGCCTTCAACTCATTGACTCATTCAGCAAGTGTTTATTGACTAGACATTAGTAACATCTTCAGCTGAGGCAGCCATAGCCTTGGGAGCCTCTTTTGGGTGCTATGTGGAAAGACTTTGGGTCACATGGACATATGCCATTGGCAAATTCCTAATCCATGAGGTGGGATAGAAAGAGGCTCAGGAGACTTGAGCTCAAGTCTTGATTCTGCTGTTTTCTGGGACAAGTCACATCTACTTTCAGGGTGTCCACACAAGTTTGTGTTATTGGGTTTACCACATGATTAAATTGTAATTATATATGGTTTCTGCACTCTCCTTCCAGAGGTACTCTGAAGAGAGGATAATGTGTTTGTCATCTTTGTTTTCCCATTCATTATTTTAACACCTGGTGCATCATAAACTCTCATTAGTAGTAATAATAGTATAGTAATGATAATGTGTGTCAAGCACTGTTTTATGTAATTTAATGTTGTAACTCATTTAATCCTTGAAACAATTCTATGAATTAATTATTATTATTATCCATGCTCTGCGGGCAAGGAATTTGAGGCACAGAGAGGTTAAGTAACTTGATCAAAGTCACATGATTAGTAAGTGGCAGAACTGGGTTTGAAGTTTAGGCCCTTTGTCCACGTAGTTCATGGTTTAAACCAGCAGTTGCCAACCTTTTGGACCTCACAGATCACCAGTGGTCCTCGGGCCACCAGTTGGCGACTGCTGGTTTAAACCACTCTGAACATCATGGTTATTTGAAGAAGGAAACAAAAGGTGAAATGAGGACCTCCAAGGTCTCTTTAGTTCAGATTTTCTGTGAGTCTTAAAAATGCCTCTCAGCAGACTATAAAAAGGGACATCTGGTGTGGCAATGTAGCCCAGGCACACAGGCCCACACAGGTACAGGACAGAGTCCACTGAGAGTGGGAGTTTGAATCCTCGCTATGGCACTTATGGTTGTGACCTTGAGAAAATTGTTTAACCTCCTTGAATTTCAGTTTCATCATAGGACAAAAGCACAATATAGTAAGCCCTCAATGTCATCGGTGTGTTCTGTGACTTCAATGAAACGACATATGATGAAACCGATTTTGCCAGAACCTAATTGATACACATGAGTTAAGTTCCTAAGATATCTCATCAATGTTATATTGAAATGACATTGAACAAAACAATGTTGAGGACCTGCTATAATGCCTACATTTTATAGCTATTGGGAGAATAAAAATATAAAAATGTAAAAGAGAGATTACCTTATGGAAACGGGCTTTTAGAGATAAAGCAGTGGAGTTTGGAATATAATCATTACAAAGTTGGATGTTCTTTAAAACAGAGTTTGGTGGGAGATTTAGGTAGGGCACCTTCTTAAGGATCAGAGTGAGAGATCCCCATGTAAAAAGTTAAATGAATACAAGGGTGGTCTGCTTTCTGGATGTATGAGCTTTGGATGGAAATCAAGCAGGTTGCCTCTGTGTGTATGTGCATTGTGAGTGTGTGTGTGTGTGTGTGTGTGTGTGTGTGTGTGTGCGTGTGTAGCGAATCTTGGTATCAATTTCTAGGAATGGGGTGGGAAAATATATTGGAATGAGTAGGGACTAGGGAGTGAAGAAACATGTCCAGATTCCAGTTCTGCCATTATCTTCATGTGCAATCTGGCAGGTTTGGCAAGTTGCCAATCACCTCGGGTTTAAGTTCCCTGATTCCAAGATGAGGGGGTGGAATTTGAATACTTCCAAGGTCTCACTGACTACTACCAGTCTAGAAATTCCCAAGCCAAGTTCCAGGTTCTTCAATGAATGAAAATTCCTTCAGTACCCGTTTCTACCAAAACAGCAACTGCTTTCCCTTCCCACTGATTCGGGCACCGGTGAGAGGCATTTTGTTCTCCTGTTTAGCCACCCTCTCCCCCACCTCAGGTTGGTGAGGAGCTCCAAAAGGTCCACTGATTCCAGCCAGGCTGGCTCACGCCTCTGGATAAAAATACCCAGTCAACAAACATTCATTTCACTCTTTTAATTTAAAACAGTCACATAATTAGCAAATATAGGATTATGGGAGAAAACACAGGTAAGTAAAACGAAAATCTAAAATTCCATCACCTAGAGATGACACTCTTAACATTTTGGTATATGTCCTTCCAGATACTTTTTTTTCTAAGTGAATTTTAATTAAAAAATTAGGTCCATACTGGACGTACCTAAGTTTTTGCAACTTCCTTTTCCACCTAACATTACATTGTGAACGATTTTCCCTACTCTTCTACCTTTTTGATAGTTGCATAGCATTCTATTGTATACTAGTAAGTATACAATCCAGTCCCTTATCGCACCCTGTTGGTTGTTTGCCTTTGTCACTCTGCTGAATATCATTGTCCTTAAATCTTGGAGTACATCTTTAAGGTGTTCTTGTATTTCTGAAAAGAGGAATGGCTGGATTGAAGGATATGATCATATTAAAAAAATTTCAACACACATTTCCTTTTGCTTTCTAGAAAGTTTGTATCAAAATAAATTCACCATGAGATTAGCGATCATGCATTCCCACTTTAAGAGCAAATAGGAGAGATGCCTAAGTTAATTAGGGGTTGGGCAGATCGGGGGAAGCAATGCAAAGGAAGTGTCTATGTGGAAATCTGTAGAACAAGCAGAAGTGAGCCAAATAAGGAGGGAATGTAGGTGTTCCAGACAGAGGGACAGCATGTGAGAAGACCCAGAGGTATGGCACTGAGACCAGAAATAAGTTCCATGTGGTTAGAGTTTGGAGGGCTGGCAAGTAACATGTGGAGTGACATGGTAAGATTTCTCTTTTGGAAGGTTAGGCTGGTTTCAGTGTAGATGAAGGATTGGAGGGGGCAAGACTGGAAACAGAATAACAAGTCAGGAAGCTGTTGCTGTTCCCCAGCTAAGTAATATGCAGTGGCCAAGACTTGGATGTGACTGTGGGGATGGGAAAGACAGACTGGGGGATATTAAAGGGGTAGGAGAGACTGGCGTTAGTGATTACTTGGGTAGTAAGAGAATGGAAGAGAAGGAAACCTTAAGGAGGCTCTTGGGTTTCTCTCTGATGTGGGATGGAGAACCTAGACGTCATCCCATGGTTTGGGGATAGGAAGATGATGTATTCACCTTGCGACATGTTCCATGTGAGGTTCCTGTGGGACCCATCCGAGTGGGTGTCCTCTAAATATCTGAATTTACAGAAGACAGGTCTGGGCTGCACGCGGCTGCTGGGACCTGAAGTCTTGGTGAGGATGCAGTCACAAGTCACTCCTCAGAGCGCCACAGGGGTATGACCCTCGGCTTTTCTCAAGGGCTACCTCATTCAGTCCTCCCAACAGAACTTCAGCGTCTAATTTCAGAAGAGCGCACTGAAGACCAGAAGGGGAAGGCATATTTCCCAAGGCCGCTCAGCAAGTCAGTAGCAGACGAAACTTGAACTCAGGTCATGACTGGTAGTGTGTGGGCCCCGTGGGTGCGCCTCGCACACAGATTTCAGCCTTTCAGCCTGAGGTCTTGGGGTGGGTGATGAGAGAAGAATGGCTGGCACTTACATGTACCTAACGTGTGCCTGGCCCTGCCTCACCGGCATTATTTCCAATCTCACAACCAGGACTGCGTCCTGAAGCTGAGCAGGTGCCAGGGCCGGGCTGGGAACGCAGGTGTCCCCCATCACCAGCCCGCAGTCAGGCGGAGGCGCTCTCCATAGAGGGGCCGCGTCTGCAGCGGGAACACCGGAGGCGCCCCGGCCCCGCGCGCCCCTCGCCCCCGCCTGCATGCCTGGCCGCTGAGGCGTGAGAGCCGCCGCCCCGGGCCTCCTCCCGCGCGCCTTGCACAACCCGCCCAGATAAGTGCTGCGTCTCTGGGCAATTACCGCCCTCCGCCGCCGGCTGGCCGGGCAGCAGGCCAGAGGCCAGGGGACTCCAGCCACCCAAGGAGAGCGGTACCCGCCGCGGGGGAGCCCCAGGCGCGGGCGATTGCACCAACGCGGGACGCGGGACGCGGGGACGGAGGGCGGGGAGACTGCGCGGCGCGGAGACGTCACGCACAGCGGCCCCGCCCCCGAGTCTTCGCCCGGCGCCCCGGGAGGACCTGGGGCGGTCAGCGGGGCGAGGCCGCCCTGCGCTGCCAGGCTGCCGGCCAGGTATTCTTTTCCTCCATCCTTTTCCTCCCCCCCTCCCCCTCTACTTCCTCCCCCCCTCCCTTATTCCTTTCTTCATCTTTTAAATCCCCCCATTCCCTCCTTCCTCCCCCCCCTTCCTTTCTCCTCTCTTTCTCTCCTTCCCCGCATCCCCACATCTTTCTCTTCCTTCTCCTTCCTCTCATCCTCCATCCCTTCCTCCCTTTGTCCTCTCCTTCCTCTCTCCTTCCTTCCTCTCTTCTCCTCCCCCCCCCTTAAAAATATTTTTTTAACTCAATTTTTAATTATGGTAAAAAAACAACATAAATTTTACCTTCTTAACCATTTTTACGTATAGAGCTCAGCAGTGTTAAGTGTACGCACGTCATTGTGTAACCAACCTCTAGGACAGCAGTTCTCAACCTGTGGGTCGCGACCCCTTTGGGGGTTGAATGATCCTTTCACAGGGGTCGCCTAAGACCATCGGAAAACACATATATAATTACATATTGTTTTTGTGATTAATCACTATGCTTTAATTATGTTCAATTTGTAACTATGAAAATACATCCTGCATATCAGATATTTACATGACGATTCATAACAGTAGCAAAATTACAGTTATGTACTAGCAACGAAAATAATTTTATGGTTGGAGGTCACCACAACATGAGGAGCTATATTAAAGGGTCGCGGCATTAGGAAGGTTGAGAACCACTGCTCTAGAACTTTTTCATTTTGCAAAACAAACTATACCCACTGAATAACAACTCCCCAGTTCCCCTTCTCCCTAGCTCCCGGTAACCACATCTACTTCCTTTTTTCTACTTTCTTTTTCTTCATTTCTTTCTTTTGCCTTTTTGTGCCTTTCGTTTTCCTTTATCCTTTTTCTTCCCCTCCCTCTTCCCATCTTTCTCACTTTCTCTGCTGAGAAGCCTCATTGCCCCGCTGCACCCTTGCTAGCCCTATAGTCTCTGCCAGGGGCTGGGCCAGAGGCCTGTCAGCGAGGCTGTTAGCGGGCTGGTGAATCATCATTCCTCCCCCGTGTGTCAGGGCCAGTGGGCGGCCCCTGGAGGCCTCGCCTGGCTTTTCGCTGGTAGGCAAACATGTCCAGCAAGGAGCTTCTGCCAGGAAGAGTTAATTAGAGGGAGGCCCTGACTCCAGCAGGGCCGCAGGGTCAGACTGGGAGCCCCTCTCTCCTCTGGGCCTTCCCCAACCCTGGGGTCCCCCCCCTAGACAGAGCAAGACAGCCATGATGATGGTGATGGTGATGATAACTTGGACCGACACAGAACTTAACAGTTTACAAAGCATTGCCATAGACATGATCTCATCCTTGTTCTCTCAGCAGTTCTGGGAGGTAAGCCTTATTATCCCCGTTTTACAGGTGAGGAAACTGAGCTTCAGAGAAATGAAGGGAGTTGACTGTCGCTACAGAACTGGCAAGGGGCGGCGTTGGCAAGGTGGGGACTAAGATTTGTATCACCAACAAAAGCACATACACAAAAAAGGCTGTATCAGAGTTTAAAACATTTAAAAGTTATGTATTGCTCCCTCTTCTGTGTTCCCAGAGCACCTTGTTTAGACCTTTTGTGTGCAGACCCCACCTGATGGGTTTCTTCAATACCTGGGCGTAGGGGCAGATACTGAGTGAGTGAGTGGTGGAGGTATTTGATGGTATGCATAACAGATGTAAAAGAGTTGATTTCCAGGCAGCTAATAGGTTTTCCAAAGTCAAGCAGAACTGCTACCTGGCTGGCTCTGGGTTATCTGGAACTTGGGCTCTCTCTTCAGACACCGTATTGAGAGAACAGGGGACTTCTGAGTGTGGATAGAGCTACAATTTTCCCACTTCTTCTGGGTGGAACTTCTGGCCCACAGTTCACATTCCTTGAGCACATTCAGTTTCAATTACTTTTTCATATGTTAGTGTGGGCATAAATTTTAGCTTCATGGGTAATTATGGTAGATTATAATTATTAATGTTCACCAATATTTACTTCTCTACTGGATACATGGAGGCATACAATCCCCTGCCCCCCTGAAGTAAAGCATGCTCACGACTATTTTTTGCCAATAAATGTGATTTATTGGCTTTTGTGGAGCGGAGCATTGAATGGCAGATGTTCGACTCCTTAGTTCTCTCTTCTCCAGCTGCACTGACCAAGGAGCCACATTCCAGGATGTTGGCGTTTTATTGGCCTGGGTCTCAGGGAAACTACCTTGAAAATAACCCCCTATTAGCTGTTATGGGTGTGTAGAGTGAGTGAGAAATAAACCTTGGTGGTATTAAGCCAATCACATTTGAGTTGTTAGTGTAGCTTAATCTAGCCTATTCTGACCGATACAGTTATCAGTAGAGCAATCGATAGAATACATTGAATATATAACATATTAGTCAATTTTTAAAACATAACTTTCACCCTTTGGAGCAAGATTAAAAATTTTAAAGACAAAAATTATAATTGCACAATCTAATAGAAAAGATAAGCTTTATTTATATTTTCTCCCCTAAAGCTCTTATCACATATACTTTATACATGTTTTTTTTATTTTTTTAATTTTTTTTATTTATTGCTTAAAGTATTACAAAGGGTATTACATATGTGTCCATTTTATCCCCCCACCCTAGACAGTCCCCTAGCCTCCCCTATCCCCCAGTGTCTTATGTCCATTGGTTATGCTTATATGCATGCATACAAGTCCTTTAGTTGATCTCTTACCCCCCTACCTCCTGCCCCCCAACCCTCCCCGGCCTTCCCGCTGCAGTTTGACAATCTGTTTGAGGCAGCTCTGCCTCTGTATCTATTATTGTTCAAAAGTTTATAATGGTCTCTATTATCCATGAATGAGTGAGATCATGTGGTATTTTTCCTTCATTGACTGGCTTATTTCACTTAGCATAATGCTCTCCAGTTCCATCCATGACGTTGCAAATGGTAAGAGTTCCTTCCTTTTTAGAGCAGCATAGTATTCCATCGTGTAGATGTACCACAGTTTTCTAATCCATTCATCTACTGATGGGCACTTAGGCTGTTTCCAGATCTTAGCTATGGTGAATTGTGCTGCTATGAACATAGGGGTGCATATATCCTTTCTGATTGGTGTTTCTGGTTTCTTGGGATATATTCCTAGAAGTGGGATTCCTAGAGTATATTTATCATGAGTATTTAAAAATTTGACAGGGCCAAATGGGAGTTCCATTTTCAGTTTTTTAAGGAAACTCCATACTGTCTTCCATAATGGCTGCACCAGTCTGCATTCCCACCAGCAGTGCACAAGTGTTCCTTTTTCTCCACATCCTCTCCAGCACTTGTCGTTTGTTGATTTGTTGATGATAGCCAGTCTGACAGGTGTGAGATGGTACCTCATTGTTGTTTTGATTTGCATCTCTCGGATGATTAGTGACTTTGAGCATGTTTTCATATGTCTCTTGGCTTTCTGAATGTCCTCTTTTGAAAGGTGTCTATTTAGGTCCTTTGCCCATTTTTTGATTGGATTGTTTATCTTCCTTTTGTTAAGTTGTATGAGTTCCCTATAAATTTTGGAGATTAGGCCCTTATCAGATATGACATTGGCAAATATGTTTTCCCACACAGTGGGTTTTCTCGTTGTTTTGTTGATGGTTTCTTTTGCTGTGCAGAAGCTTTTTATTTTGATGTAGTCCCACATATACTGTATACATGTTTTTAAGAGCTTACTTGAGATACAATTAAAATACAATAAAATCCACATATTTAAAGTATACAATTTTATGCCTCGTCAGCGTGGCTCAGTGGTTAAGAGTCGACCTATGAACCAGGAGGTCACCATTCAATTCCCAGTTAGGCCACATGCCTGGGTTGTAGGTTCGATCCCCAGTAGGGGGCATGCAGGAAGCAGCCAATCAATGATTCTCATTCATTATTGATGTTTCTATCTCTCTCTCCCTCTCCCTTCCTCTCTGAAATCAATAAAAATATATTTAAAAATAAATAAAGGGAAAAACATTCAGCAAAATTAATACTTATATTTATCATGAGTATTAACTCCTGGTGCATGGGTCAACACTCAACCAAAGAGGAAACCCCATATACATTAAGAAGTCACTTCCCATTTCCGAGGCCCTGGCAACCATGAATCTGTTTTCTGTCTCTATATATTTTTGCCTGTTCTGGAAATTTCATAATGAGATATGGAATATGGAATAAATGGGACCATACAACATGGAGTCCTTTATGACTGGCTTCTTTTCTTTAGCATAATGTTCTTGAGGTTCCTTATGTTGTAACATGAATTAGTATCTCATTCCTTTTTGTGTATGAATAATTTCAATTGTATGGATATACTATATTTTGTTTATCCATTCATTTTGGGTTGTATCTACTTTTTGGGTATTGTGAATAGTGCTGCTATGAACATTAACATATAGGTATTCCAGATAGTGTTATAGAAGAGTGTTTTTCAAAGAAAGCTATTCCTCAGGATATTAGTAGTTGCTGCAATAGAAGTATTATTTACTCAAATAAACTTGAGAAACACTGAGTGAAACAATATTTGACATCTCCTGTTGGATTTCTCAGATCCTTTTATTTTCTAAAATGCTTTGTGTATATCTGAGAGGCAATGTGATGTGCAATACAGGGTGGAGCAAAAGTAGGTTTGCAGTTGTTCATGTGGAAAATAATACAATAATCTACACTAATAAAAGACAAACATGCAAATTGACCATACCTTCAATGCGCCTTAAGCCACGCCCACCAGCAAATCAGAACAACTATATGCAAATTAACCCAACTAAGATGACAGCCGGCAGCCAGGGAGCTGAAGCAAGCAGGAGGCTTGCTTGCCCCAATGATGGAGGAAGCCAAGCTTCCCGCCTGCCAGCTAGCTCTGAGCTCCACTCAGGCAACAAAGTTTCAATTATAGAAGGTAAATAAATCCCAGATTTAAAAAAAAAAAAAAAGAGAGGCTGGGAGCTTTCATTGCCGGGGGGGCTTGGCCAGCCTGCAAACGGCCCTCAGCCCCTCACCCAGACTGGCCAGGCACCCCATTGGGGATCCCCACCCTGAAGGGAGTGTGGCCAGCCTGCAAACAGCCATCAGCCCCTCACCCAGGCTGGCCAGGCACCCCAGTGGGGACCCCCACCCTGAAGGGTGTGTGATCATCCTGCAAACACCCATCAGCCCCTCACCCAGGCTGGCCAGGCACCCCAGCAGGACCCTCACCCTGATCCGGGACACCCTTCAGGGCAAACCAGCCGGCCCCCACCCATGTACCAGGCCTCTATCCTATATAATAAAAGGGTAATATTCAAACTGACCCTAACAGCAGAATGACTGGGAATGACTGGTCACTATGACACACACTGACCACCAGGAGGCAGACACTCAATGCAGGAGCTGCCCCCTGGTGGTCAGTGCGCTCCCACAGGGGGAGCTCTGCTCAGTCACAAGCCAGGCTGACTGCTGCCAGTACAGCAGTGGTGGTGGGAGCCTCTCCCGCCTCCTCAGCAGCACTAAGGATGTCTGACTGCAGCTTAGGCCTGCTCCCCACTGGCAAGTGGACATCCCCTGAGGGCTCCTGGGCTGCCAGAGGGATGTCTGACTGCCAGCTTGGGACCGTTCCCCCAGGGAGCGGGCCTAAGCCAGCAGGTGGTCATCCCCCAAGGGGTCCCAGATTGCGAGAGGACACAGGCCAGGCTGAGGGACCCCCCCCCCACCCCCACCCCGAGTGCACAAATTTTTGTATACCGGGCCTCTAGTTAATAAATAATAACCATAATATAAGAATAAACTCCATTCTGTGTACTCACAACTGTAAGCTACTTTTGCTTCAGCCTGTATTTTTCAAATTCAGTGTAGCACATAGTACATATTTTCAATTTGTTATATAAAAAAAATTTCTAAAAGATGTAGTTCAGTGACTTTTACAAATGAAATGCTTCAGAGCATATATTCCCTAAAAAGGGCCAAAAAAACTTTTACATTATATATGGGTTTCTCAAATTAAGAGTAATAATCTAAGGGACCAATTTAAAAGGACAAACATCTCATGGATTCCCCCAGAATTGACTTAAATATATTTCATTTTATTTTTTAAAATATATTTTTCTTGATTTCAGAGAGGAAGGGAGAGGGGAAGAGAGATAGAAACATCAGTGATGAAAGAGAATCATTGATTGACTGTCTCCTGCACGTCCCCTACTGGTGATTGAGCCTACAACCCAGGCATGTGTCCTGACTGGGAATTGAACCATGACCTCCTGGTTCATAGATTGACACTGAACCATTGAGCCACCCTTGCTGGGCTTAAATATATTTTAGTTTAATGTAACTTCAATGCATACTGATATAAAACTAGGCATAAACTCCTTATAAATAATAAAACCAAAACAAATTTATAAATTAAATACAATATTACAAAAAGCATCAAAATCCAAACTAATGCATTCAATTTGATAGATTTCATTTCTTGCTGACACTCAGTGACTATTTGCAATGTTACTATGGGCTGACCTATTAAGGGGAAGATTCTTTTGATTCCATCCTGCCTGTACTACTGTGTGGGTGGGATGTCTTCGTTCTCCCACAAACTTTTTTACTCAAACTTCTGAAAGCTTGCTTCTTCAGGGCTGTGAGATTTCATCTGAAGTTAACACTTTGAGATTAGGTCTGCCTCTCTTTTCTCATTAGCCATTACAATGACAATACTACTGCTTGGTCCCAATTCATCATAAAAGTGCATCCATGGGCAGTATGGTGCTTAATTTATGTGTCAAGTTGACTGGGCCATGAGGTACCCAGATATTTGGTCAAATATTACTCTAATGTTTCTGTGAAGGTGTTTTTGGATGAGATTTACATTTAAATTTTTAGACTGAGCAAAGCAGATTTCACTCCCTAATATGGACGGGCCTCATCCTATCAGTTGAAGGCTTACATCAGCGGTTCTCAACCTGTGGGCCGCGACCCCTTTGGCGGTCGAATGACCCTTTCACAGGGGTCGCCTAAGACCACCCTGCATATCAGCTATTTACATTACGATTCATAACAGTAGCAACATTACAGTTATGAAGTAGCAACGAAAATAATTTTATGGTTGGGTCACAACATGAGGAACTGTATTTAAAGGGCCAGAAGGTTGAGAACCACTGGCTTACATAGAATGAAAAGGCCAACACTTCCCCTGGGAGGGGACAAGATGCCTTGCTCACACAGCCACCATCACTCCATGGCCCAAACTCCATAGCTCCCCTCAAGCAGTTCCTCTGACGACATCTCTGAATGAGAAGCAGATGATAGGGAGGTCAGTTGATGATGAAAGACATTTAAAAGTAATTTTGATTATTTGGAGTTTTTGCCTTCTGTGCTATATTTAGTCCCCAGCTCCCACGTCGGTTTTGTTCACCTTGGCAACAGCACCTTGTGTAGGGCTTGTCAAGAAATGCTTGTAGCCCAGCTAGTGTGGCTTAGTGGTTGAGCGTTGACCCATGAATCAGGTTTGATTCCCGGTCAGGGCACATGCCGAAGGCAGCTGATCAATGATTCTCATCATTGATGTTTCTATCACCCTCTTCCTCTCCCTTCCTCCCTCTGAAATCATTAAAAAAAGAAAGAAAAAAAAGAATGAGATTTAAAAAAAGAAAGAAATGAAATGCTTGTTGTATAAATGAACGACTCCTCAAACATTAGAATTAGGAGGACCCTTATCAATTGTTAGAGCCAACCCACATTTTACGGGGAAATAAGGAATAGTACTAACCATTTAATGCAAGCTGACTCTATGCTAGGACTTGTGCTGAGCACTTCGCATACATTATCTAATTTTGCCCTTTGAACAACAATGTGAGCTGGAAATGACCATGCCTACCTTTTTTTAGATTATAAAACATTTCTGTGTACAGAGGACTCGCTAGCATTGTTTCTTTCATCAGGCAGGTGTCGTGGATAATCTATTCAAGGAAGAACACTTAGTCCAACTTGATGAAGCCTATATCCTTTGAGTATTAATGGAAACTGGTAGCCCATATGGAGGCCATATTTCCAGATCAGGCAGTGTCAGTTTGAGCGGATGAAAACAGGGCGCGACTCTGGCTGAGTTTTTGCTGGTGGCTCCAGTAGAGCTGCTAGTGACCCATATTGCTTTCAGGGGTGCAGCAGGGCAAAAGGTTGCACAGCTGGTGACTTGCAGAACTGGCTGTGTCTAGAGCCCACTGGCCGACCTTATGCTATACTGCTTCTCCTTGCATCTGGAGGAAATAGAGACCCACGGAAAGACAGAAACTTGACCTGGCCCCCCCAGCCCCTCAGGCAGGATGGCCACTTTATCCAGAGGCGCCTTTATTCCTGGGCCTCCCAAGACACCTGGCTGCAAGGACACCAGGAAGAGGGAAGAAGAATTTCAAGTGCATTCTAAGAACCACCTCCATTCTCTTGCTGTGCAGGGTAGGAGCACGCACTCAGAGACCCAGCCAGGAAGGAAGATTTGATCTCCTGGGCAGGATCCGCTTCCCATGGCGACGCCTCCTTGAGCCGAAGCTCTGGTATGAAGTAAGACTTGTTTAGAGCAGTTAAAAGCAGCAATCCCCATTGTGTCAAGTGGTGACAGTATAATCCTTCTTAATAATTTTGTTCCCTCTCCAAATTCCCCTCCATTATGCATCCTTAAAATGTGACCTCAGACGCCTCTTTAGGTTTCCAGTCCTGTAAGTGCAGGGGCATCTGGTGCGAGGGGGAGAGGTAAAGACGGTCTCTGTTGCACTCAGATCATCACTGGAAATACCTGCCCCCGTGTTGTTGGCTAGAGGTATTATTTTAAAAAGTTTTAAATGAAAGTTTGAGTGATATGCAAAAATAGAGATATGAATATACTGAAGCTCCACATCCCCATCCTGTAGCTTTATCAATATCAACACATGGTCAGTCTTGCTTCATTTACACCTGGTCCACTCCCAGCTCCTTGCCACTGGAGTTTTTTGAAGGCAATCCCAGATCATTTAGGATACATGTATCTTGTATTTCTGAAAGATAAAGGCTGTTTGTTTGTTTGTTTTTTAAAATTATATAGCCCTGGCCAGTGTGGCTCAGGTGGTTGAGGCGAGGTAGAGGAATTCATTAAGGATGATGCTGAGGTTTCTGACCTGAGCCACTGGGAGGACGGGGGTGCCACTCACTGAGAAGAGGAAGAGCGGGTTTGAGTGTGTGTGTGTGTGTGTGTGTGTGTGTGTTGATTAAGCTCTGAAAAATTTCAGGTAAATGAGAACCTTTCCTTTCCCTGGAGAAATCACAGTCCAGTGAGGGAAGCAGTTACATAAACAAATAATTCTGACGTAAACTGAGAGGTACTGAGTGGTAGCTTTCTCTATGAGGTGGTCAAGACTAAATCTGCGGGGTAAGAAGAAAAAACCATCTGAGGGGGTTTCCCAGAGTTGGTGATAAACATGTAAAGGCAGGAGAGTTCCAGGTAGAAGGGGGAGCTGGTGCGTTCTGGAGTTGGCAACCTGAAGTCCTGTGTGATGGGGTGAGGGCGTGTGAGTGGGAGTTCTCTTAGAGCTGGAGGGGCTGGCAAGGGGCTGAGCGATAGGCACTGCCTCTCACTGATGAAGGGCCAGGACTTAACAAATCCTTCTTCAGTCACTAGGATGTAAGTTACACAGGGGCAGATCATTGAATAGTGTCTTGCACATAGTAGGCATTCATTAAATATTTGTTGGATGAGTGATTGATTGGTGTTATTGAAATCTTTGCCTTTTTTTCCATGTTGTTGGGGATTTCCAAGCACCATCTATTTTTTCTGTATACATTTTATAATAAGAATAAGGTAAAATTTATATTCTAAGTTCAATGAAAATTTCATTTATATATTCTTTCTGAAGCTAATCACCAATAATTTTTTAAAAATAAAAACCAATATGTAAGTGGTTTTTGTGGGGCTATAAATTTCCCTTACAAGGGTTGAATATTATGAAATAATTAAGAAATGCAAAGAAATACATGAGTCATTTTAAAAATATGAATATATCCTAAAGCATTTTAGTTGGTGCTGTTTTCATTAACATTAGCAAGTAGGGAAAGATCAGAAAACTAAACTAAATATGAAAAATTTCTAGGTATTTCTAGACTAGATATTATATCCTGAGCCAGCAATCTAAAAGCAAGTATTTTCAAATGTCATTGTTGGGGTGATGAATAATACTTAACTAACTAAAAATTATCCAATGTTAGAAGGGAGATCCCTTTGATTTCTGGTCTACCCTTTCACTGTACAGCTGAGAAACGGGCCCAGAAAGGGAAAGATAGTCTATCTAAGGTCACACAGCAAGTTAGAAGCAGAGCCAAGAGCGGCATCCAGATGTGGTGGCTGTTATTCCATGCTGTGGTGGCTGTTGTTTGTGTCCATCTCGAACCCCTCCCCCCACTTCAGGAAACAGAATTCATTCCTCTGGCCACATGTGGGCATGTAGCACAGGCTAAGCCAAACATTGTATAGTATTTCACTCTCACTTAGTCATTGGTTCAGGAGATGAACATGTGACCCAAGCTTGACTAATCAGAATCCTCCCCTGGCATTTGTGATAGTGGAGCTGGGAAAGGAAAGGGCCTTTAAACCTCCCTGGTTATGAAGCTGTGAGGACATGAGCTCAGACTAATGTGGCTAGTCCTGTGACACATGGAAAGAATAGCAGAAGGAAGACAGAGAGAAAAGAGAGGTACTCCAGATGGGAGTTGAATTACTTATTCTAGTTGCCAAGGTGTATTCATCCTGAGGTTATTTTGGCTCTTACATTTTTTTTAAAGTAATGATAATATCCTTCTGATAGCGCATGTTCTTTTATTACTTTTTTCTTCTTTTTCTTTTGCTTAAACAAGTTAGAATTGGGTTCCTGTCACTTGTAGCCAAAGTGTTTAGCCCAGGATTTCTCAACAGCAGCAGTATTGACATTTTGGAGCAGATAATTCTGTGTTGGGACGGGTTTCTCTGTGCCCTGTAGGATGTTCAGCAGCAGCACTGGCCTCTACCCCACTAGATGCCAGTAGCACCCCATCCCAGTGGTGACAACCAAAAATGTCTCCAGCCGTTGCCCAATGTCCCCTGGTGGGTGGGGAGAAAATGGCCATGGTTGAAAACCACTGGTCTCGTTTAATACCCATGGTGACTCTTACTTATAAAACAAAAAACCGACAGGGGAAACTGAAATTCAGTGAGATGTGGGACTTTTTTCAAGGTGACAACGACAGGACTATCAAATCAAGCAAAGTGATACTACCAGGAAGTGATACTACAAAGAGATGTTGGTACATGCAGACGTTGGCTCTCTCATAGCTGCTGGAACAATAACAAACTCCACAAAAGGAGTTGGGATTTTACCCATGACATAGGCCATAACGCTCTACCTAAGAATTCTCACGCATCTCAAGAGATGGTGAGGCACAGCAATACCAATTAGTTTTATTTCTGTTGTTTTAGATCTTGGAAGTTTGGGTTCAGTGAACTTTGGGTGTTTCCAGAAAGCTCACCACATATTCCTCTGAAGTAGATATCCAGGAACCAAATCTTGCTACAATTGCACAATGGTGTCTACGTGAGGTCAGTAAGAACCACCAAGAATGAGCTTTACTTTTGTTAGAACTATTTTGGAGGAAGTGCCCTTCAGAGGAGACATTGCGAGGAAAAGAGTAGTAGCTCTGGACTCAAGAGGGCTAGATGTGAGCTTGACTCTGCCACTAATGTGGGGTGACATTGTGCAAGTGCCTGCCTCTCTCTGGGCCTAAGTTTTCTTCTCTGTATAATGAGGGGTTGGATCAGACAAATGCTGAGGAGCACCCCAGTACTGACCTTTAAAGATTCTTGTAAACAGACACTGTGTTCTATCTATTCTGGCTCCCCTCCCCCCAATACAGGACCTGGTGCAGCACCAGAAACCAAATAGGCACTAAGCAAATGCACAGATAAATGATTTACTTAGGAGCGAAAAACACAATAACATTCCAACTTCCACAGATGCATAGAACTGGACGGGATCTTAGAATTGAAAGGGATCCCTAAGTTTATTTACTCCAGCTACCCAATCAAAGCCAGAGCCCTCTACCTTATTTCTGACAGGTGGACATCTGTTTACATACTTCTGATGACAGGGGTCTCTATCTGTAGGGGCAGCCAGTTCCACTTTTGAATAGATTAGATATTAGGAAGTCCCTTTTTATCTGGAACCTAAATTAGCCTCCTTGTAGCTGTCACCTGCTTCTAGTTTTATTTTTTTAATCAATTTTCATTTTAATCCAAGACTATATGTTCATAACTAAAAAAAGTCAAATAATGTTAAATAATGAAAAATAGCTCTCTTCCTCATCCTTCTTTATTCCCTTGGTGCTTCCTCCATGCAACCACTTTCCACTCCTTCAGCTCTTTCTTCTGCTACTTATATCTGCATTTCTAATTGATATGCTTACATTGGTACTTCTAGATTTGTCAATTTTAAACATTATCTATTGACTTCCTACTTTTATAGGAGAGGTTTTAACCTCTTTAACTAACCTTCCCCAACTTTCCACTTCATTCTCTCACTATACTATCACAATGTTTGGTTCAATCAGTGTTTAGTGTTTTCATTAAATATCATTTAATGCTAAGCTTACTATAATACTGTTTCCTTCCTTGTACTTTTTTTCCCCTCTTTTTCCTGGGGTTAATAATTGCTTTGATTAGTTTTCTATGTCCTTTCCCCTGATTATTCCCAAATGTTTCAACTAAGCTCTACAATGCTTATCAACACATCATTTAGAAAAAAGATTTTATTTTTATCAAAGTTATACATATAGTAATTTAAAGAGTCAAATAACTCTACACGATTTGACAATGATGAGCCCTTGAGTTTGTGCCACAGTGTACATTTCAGAAAGCACTTTCACCTAACCGTGAGCAACAGATGTGGCTTGAGGTTATTATGATTTGGCAGCAGGTTAAGAAATGGAAGCCCAGAGAGGAAAAGTGACCTGCCTAAGGTCACACAGCAAGCACCGCAGGAGCAGAGCCTTTAACACAGCCCAACAGTTTCCCATCTACCCTTGTGCCTGGAAACATTAACATTACTTTGAGTCCAGACTGGTCAATGGTAGAATGTGCTCTAAAGATAAGGGGCTCCTAGAGGGTGACTCATTTTTAATAGACTGGAATAAATCGCTTCTGTGCAAAGCAGGGCTCAGCAACTGGCAGGACTGAATGGGGTTGGCAGCCATCCGAAGTGTCAATGTGAAAGGCGAGAATGTCTCCACACCCTGTAATCCCACAAACAGGGTCTCTATTTTTTAAGATTTTTAAGCAGTATTACACAAACCCTCCAGGGGCTTAAGCAGGAGCAGGTAAGTAATCTCCTCACGTGTCCTGTTGCCACCTTCCTTGCTGGTAGAGAACAGTATCACCTTAATCCCCACGAGGAACCAGAAGGGAAGGATTGAGAAATGGCCCCGGGCCTGAAGTCACATCATTCTTATTTTGCAGAAGTGAGCTCTACGAGGTAAGGAAAGAACACGTGTTTAGAAACAA